CCAAAACCTCCCTCCTGATCCCAGAACCTCCCTCCTGATCCCAGAACCTCCCTCCTGATCCCAGAACCTCCCTCCTGATCCCAGAACCTCCCTCCTGAGCCCAGAACCTCTCTCCTGATCCCAAAACCTCCCTCCTGAGCCCAGAACCTCTCTCCTGATCCCAGAACCTCCCTCCTGATCCCAAAACCTCCCTCCTGATCCCAGAACCTCCCTCCTGAGCCCAGAAACTCTCTCCTGAGCCCAGAACCTCTCTCCTGATCCCAGAACATCTCTCCTGATCCCAGAACCTCTCTCCTGATCCCTGACCCTCCCTCCTGATCCCAGAACCTCCCTCCTGGTCCGAGAACCTCCCTCCTGGTCCCTCACCCTCAGCATGTCTCTCTTCAGGGGCGCCGGTGTCCTGTAGATGCTGACATCATGCAGTTTCTTCTCAGCTTCAGAGAGGAGGAGCAGCAGGGACCCCAGAGCTTCATGGAACTCCTGCAGGAAGAGATCAGCAGTCTGAGACCAGAAGGACATCTAAAGGGGAAGTTCTCCTCACATCTGAGGTCCAGACACTGACCTGACACTGCAGGACAGCGTGGTACAGCTTCCTCTGCCAGTTCTCCAAGGCGCTGCAGGCCTGAGCCCAGCTGTGACTGGCTGAGCCCAGCACCTCCTGCAGCTCCTGCAGCTCGGTGCCGTCTGTCCGCAGGAAGTGATGGCTTCTCAGGTTGACAGACATCATAAGACATTTGTGGCTGTTGAAGGTCCTCTGCATCTCCTTCAGGGGGAAATGCATCACAGCAGCTTTAGTGTGTGCTTCTTTTCCTGATCAGTAATTTCGGGTTCAGCATCCAGATGAAGACCTTACTTTAAGCTTCCTGATCTGGGCCTCCAGGTCCTGCATGCTGGTGGGCGGGGCCATGCGCTGCAATCTCTCCAGCTCTGGCAGCACCCTGCTTAGCCAGGAAGTGACATCACAGAGCTCACAGTTGAGTTTGTGCCACTGCTCCAAGATATCCTCGATGTTTGCCTGATCTGTGAGGTTCGGGGTCAGCTGCAGCTCCCAGCGCTCCATCACAC